TTTAGTGGTCAATAGGAAGGGTACACCTGGAAAGATTCCCAAACCATCACAAGACAAAAAAAAGTAATAATTCTCATAAGGCTGGATAAATTAGAGATAGCAATTAATCCAGTAATTTTTTTGTTTGTTTTGTTTTTTATTTTCTAATCTAATTGAATGAGAATCTAAATTTGAGGTTTGAAATACCTTTAAGCCATAATCATCAAACTTGACAAACTCATGTGACACATTTTCTGTTGAAACTGTCCTCTTAAAGAGTATTGCTCACATCATTCACCCTCAGATTTGCAACATGGGCAGGTTTAGATGGGGGCCAACAGGTGCCAGTGCCCCTGTAGAACTGCTCCCAGCCCCATCTATCTCCCATGTATTGAAAACATAAACTAAAAAATTGAAATATAATTAAGTGCATTTTTTTTTATAATTTTAGTTTCCCTTGATTTTAACATGCAAGTTAGAGAATTTGCCAATAGAGATTATATATGTTTAAAATAAGAAAAAACAAACAAAACAACTCCATTAAAAAAGTATTTATCTTATTTTTAAGAGCAAGATTACTCATTCCTTTTTCATATCTTCATTAAATGCTCAAATTAAGGACAATTTAACCAAATGTACTATTTTGCTTTTACAGTTAACTTCAACAGTAATTAGAAAATGCAGTTAGCTTGAAGTTTCAGTCGTACAAAGATAGGATCAAATATTTCATTTGTTAGTCTGCAACCTTGACTCCGTAGCTCAATAAATCTAATAAATGAGGAACTCTTCCCAGGTTTGTTTAGTTATTCCTTTGTTCTGGACCACCATGAAAAACACTGGCACCCCCCTGGTCCCCCTTGCAAATATACCCTAGAACCACCACTGATTTGCACGATTCATGCACACATATCACATTCAGATTAACCTGAAAACTTTCTCAACGACCCCTCACGATGAGCCACATACATTCCAAGGTGAACAAAGACTTAAAATGATTGAACATGTTATGAGTTTTAGATTTAACTTGGTCATAAAAATACATTTTATATTAATTTATAATTTACTGAGATGGACCAGTGTATTTAACAAAGTTAAAGCAAAGCGATTACCTATTGTCTGTGGAGAGTCTGCATAAGGGTAGTCCTTGGAGTAAAGTCCTCTGTCAGTGGCCAGCATTGCATCGAATACTCTGTCGCTCTTGATGACCCTGTGATCTGAAGGAAAGGAGGGTGAGACAATAGGAAAGCAAACGGGAAAATAGGAAAGGTTGAAACAGCAGCATGTATAACAATAGTAGTGTTTTCCTGTAAAGAGGAAAAAAAGCACCCTTGAGGAACTCCGAGGATGCAGGTTCAATCCCTGCTCAGGCTTGCAACAATTTGCTTACTTTGTACCAATTATATCCTAATTTCTTCATCAATTACATCTGTTGAGTAATAAATTATTGTAATAAAGTGCACGAAGAGAATTTACAGGACCTCAGATTATTTATTTGACTGTTAATTATGATAGGATTTTCTTCATATGTGTTAAAATGGGAGGTATTCATGAGGGCTACTTGAGTAAAGATGTAATTCATTGACACCTTACAAAACAGGACATAGCTTTGAAACAAGAACTTAATTTGAATTCAACTAACTTTTTTTATTTTTAACGTACCAATAATGTACATAGTTTAAAAAAATTTACCTAGTTCTGCATACATAGTAGGACCTGAGGTTAAAGGATATAGCATCAGTGTTTGCTCTAAATTATATAACCAAAATGCTATAATAATGTTATAATAATTAAAATAATTCTATAATAATTAAAAATACATCTAAATTATTTTTGTTTATTTTTGTTTCTGATAGGATTACTGTATTTGTGTGTCTGGTTATTAAAATATTTTGAGTCTTTTCTAGAAATCAACACAATATTTTGCTTTTACCTCAAGAAATTCTTCTTGTACACAGATACATTTTTAACGGCAGATGTTTGTGGAGTGTAAATTCTTTTCACCAAGCAATTTTGTTATTATCGTTTTAAAAAAGAAAAATAAATGATAAAACACACAGAAATCTATAGAACTAGTAAATATATTTCTCAATGAAGAAATGTAAAAATGGACTGGTCACAACTCCAGTAATAGGCAGGCTGTAACCAGAGTAGAAAAAGAAGTGGGAGGCCACGTTGCACAACTGAGCAAGAAGATAAGGACATTAGGGTCTCTAGTTTGACGCCTCACAGGTCCCCAACTGGCATCTTCATTAAATAGTACCCACAGTAGCCTGTTTGTGCTGTCCTCTGAAGGGGGTAGTACACACTGTTGTAGGAAATCTTCAGTTCCTTAGCAATTTCTCGCATGCAATAGCCTTCACTTCTAAGAACAAGAATAGACTGTCGAGTTTCAGATGAAAGTTCTCTTTTTCTGGCCATTTTGAGCGTTTAATTGACCCAACAAATGTGATGCTCCAGAAACTCAATCTGCTCAAAGGAAGGTCAGTTTTGTAGCTTCTGTAACGAGCTAAACTGTTTTCAGATGTGTGAACATGATTGCACAAGGGTTTTCTAATCATCAATTAGCCTTCTGAGCCAATGAGCAAACACATTGTACCATTTGAACACTGGAGTGATAGGTGCTGTAAATATACACCTATGTAGATATTGCACCAAAAACCAGACATTTGCAGCTAGAATAATCATTTACCACAATAGCAATGTATAGTATTTCTTTAAAGTTAAGACTAGTTTAAAGTTATCTTCATTGAAAAGTACAGTGCTTTTCCTTAAAAAATAAGGACATTTCAATGTGGCCCCAAACTTTTGAACGGTAGTGTGTGTGTGTGTGTATATATATATATATATATATATATATATATATATATATATATATACATCAGAGAGAGAGAAACAACGCACAGACTTTTCATCGTTTTGCCCTCGTTCCTTCTCTAACCCCATCGATCCTTTACCTCTGAGTCTACTGATGAGGTCTGGGTGCGTTTTTCCGCTTGACATCCACGCCATGGTGCGGGACAGCAGGACACCCATCGGGACCGCCACTGCTGCCAAACGCAGGACAGCTTTCATCTCCCAGATCTCCTGCAGGAACACATTTGGAAATCGCTGCAGTCACACAGCTTTACTCACTGAAAGCGCCAATAAAGAAGGTGCAGAAACAGTCTGTTTGCGGTATTCTCAGTCAGCCTAAACCAAAGAATATTAATACAACCTTAATGCAACTGACTGCTAGCGAGCGATTAAATTAGAGCTAAACTTTACAGCAAAATTGTGGAATGACAGTACTATTAAGGAAATAATATGTTCCGTTAAGTTTAAGGTGTATTGTAAGTAAATTAGGTATGAACAATTGTTTACCTTGGAAGTTGGTCACCGTCACTTTAAAGTGAGACGCACTTCCTGACAGTGATCTGACGTGAAGTAGCCTTTATCCAATAGGAGCTGAAGCACACAGGCGTCCTCCATACTGGCTTTGTTACCCAATAGAAAAGCGATATATTGCATCGTCCACCATGTTGTGAGTGGCAACCTTCACGCTCAGAGGTCCGCTTGGAACTTTGGTTTTCTGTTGTAATAATAATAATATAATCATATTTTTTTTTTTTTTGGAGTAAAGATAACTAAAATAAATTATGCAACTAACAGAAAAATGCATGGTGTAAAAATCAGCCTATATTTACCTAAATAATCAAATCAGCGTTGTATTTAGTTTGATCTTATTTTCTTCAAAAATAATTCTAAATCAATTAAAATCAGTAATTAAGAAAAAGATGGTTAATGTTAGACCAACTTAAGAAACAGCCTTAGACTATTGAACATTGCACAGCTTTGCACTTTTAATTTTATGAACTATTTTTCTGCTTTTCGGTGTCTATTATCACTTGCCCTACTTGGTAATGGTTGTTTTGTATGAACAGTTTTAAAAAATACATTTCTAGATGTATGGTTTACTCTACCTATATCTAGATGGTGATATGTTCAGTTATTCTGATGTAAAGCTCCATTGCATGGTTGCATTGTCTGTATGAAATGCAGGTGTTTAAAGGATAAACAAGGTAAAGGTTTTTATTTTCGTTATTAATTGTGGTTTTAATGTATGTTTAGAGCAACAAAATGCCTTTAGCTTCGTATTTCTCGCCGCCATTACATGAATGTTAACCTCTTGAAATGTAAACTTGTAAATATTACAATTGACTCTCCCAATATGGCGGAGATATTGACGTACGAGCTGGAACCTCGGGTTGTTCGAACGTTTGTTTTACGTAATGTGTAATTCTCCAATGAAATCCCAAGAACATTTGATTGACGGCTGTGACGGCCAATCAGATTCTACCTGTGATTTAAAGAATCGGTTGGACGGCACAGTTAGCTGCTAAAGCTAAACTTCATTTTTTTTAACTTCATAAATCATCATAAATAGACATCAACCACTTAATATCTACAGGTAAGACGCGTTCCTTAACGCTACTTCATTTATGTTGCAGCAGCGCTAATTAGTTTGAAGAACAGCTCAGATGCAAAAGCATCCATGGAGGTTAGACTCCTAAACAGCTACACTCGTCGGTTCCCTTATTAAAGGGAAGTTCTGATCTAATACTGATCTCTGTCTAGTGGCCTGACTGGACCAGGATGGTTGACGACTTCGACGATCAGGAAGTTCAGTCTAGTGGAGAGCTGTGGTCCAAGATCTGCTCCAGTCTGCCGGAAGTCCAGGCTCTTGAAAGCACCCCGGACTTCACAGACTCATTCCATCCAGCAGCCCACCCTGAAGTCCAGGCCAGCGCACAAGTGAATGGGACCAACACCGGTTCTCCCAGCGCCCAGTGGGCACCCATGGACGACTCTGAGTCTTACTTAGCCAGTTTAGGTAATTTCTATGGCACACTTCACCTAAAACAGCATTAAGACCTTACAAATAATAACAAGAACTCATGTGGAGGTTAAATTTAAAGTAATGATTCAAAAGAAGAATTTATGCACTGTTTAGACTGAAGCTTGTTTAGAGTTTAAAGTAGTAGGGAAGTCATATTTAAATGTCAAATCATTCTGGCTTAAACATGTATATAAAGGGCAGATTATACTTCTGCAACCGCACACATCAAATGTCGCTTTGGTTGGGTCGCAAACCAGTTTTGCTGGTATGCTTTTGCACCGTTGGTCTGGAACTTCTAGGGACGCACAGCAGTTTCCCGCCAAAGCGCAAGGGGGAGCCTGTTCGAGAACTCTTGGGAACTTCGGCGGATGGTCACGAGAAATTCTGCGGCGCCGGCGGGAGTGAAACCTTTCGTCGTACTTGACCCTCGGTTTTTAAAAATGGCGCTTTGGCACCGAATCCAAAAGGACAACCACACAGACAGCCGCAAAGGCATACCCAGGACCAATCACAGCAGCTTTTTGTCTGTGCACTTCCGCTCGAGGTCTGCGTGGATTTGCGACTGTCCGAAGTATAGTCAGGTTTTTTGAGGTGCGCAACGACGGTTGCAGAACCTCTACGCGGGGGCGTGGTCGCGCACAGAGACAGATTTGACGGTTGCAGAGGCTATGCGTCAGAGGCATAAATTGGCCTTAAATGTACTCATCAGACGATATTGTCCCAAAATTTAGGAAATTTCTATTTAAAAAGAAATCCTGTCTTAAAATCATTTGGGGGGGGGGGTCTGATTATATATCAACGGTCATCTGTCAATCAAATGTTTTTGGTCATAGCATCTTGGTTCATATGTCGCGGCTAATATACGCAACGGTTGACATAAGAATCTTCACAGATTATTGGTGACCGTTACAGATGTGTAGTTGGAGAGCGAATTGTTGGCCGTTTCTCAGTTCATAAAAACGGGATTATGGACTCATTTCCTCGCCAAGTATGTTCTTGAGAAGCACAGAAAAGTATGAACTTGGGGAGAACGGGAGCACGCAGAATAAATCTGGGTCAATTGGAACAGAAGCGTACTCGTGACATCACCACACCCTCATTTAGTCTGGAGCTGCTTTTCATCTCTTGTTATTAATAGTCTAGATTGTAGGTCTTTAAGAGGGGTCCGTGACCCCTAGGGGGTCCACGGAGGTAGTGCATGGGGGTCGCAAAAGTTTTGGTTGATTAGACTTTTTTTATATTCCTCCCTGAAATTTTTTAATCTAATTGAAATGTCTTTAAGTACACATTATCACGAATTCAACATTCTGTAGTAAACAGATAAATGGAGCCAGAAGATGTCTTTCACTCATCAGCAGTACCTCCGTGGGCCCCCTAGGGGTCGCAGACCCCCGCTCTATATGATTAATATGATGAAATGCTCTAAAAATTACTATTAAAGAAGAGCAACAGAATAAAATCCTACCAAAGCTTAGCCAGAAGATGCAAACGGCCCCCCATGTGGTCATTGAGAGCCCCTTGGTGCCACGGGCAGCAAGTTGGAGACCCCTGATTCATGGGAAATAAAAGACTGCAGAACCAGCAGGGATGTGAACACTTGTTGAGTTTAACGGGAGGAGTGTTCATATTTCTAACATGTTCAACTAAAGATATCTTATTCTATCAAACATGATGTTCAGATTTGTTACCTTAGAAACAAATACTTTAACATTTAATAGCAGCCTTTAAAGATATCCCTTGAATAGAGCCTTCTTGGCAACATGAAGTAGGTAAAACTACTTGGAAAATTTAAATTTTTTCATCCATATCTAAAGAAGTTAAAGAAAAAACAAATGTTGAATATTTTCTCCATTATTAGATCGTTATTTTCACTGATGTTCACCGGAGTCTCAAAGACTTGATTCAAGATGTAAAAACATACGTTTTGTCTACATTTTCACACAGAAAACCGCCTGAAAAAGCTAAAGGGTCAGTCCAGCGATGTCACGTCCAGAGACATGCTGCGCTCGTTGTCTCAAGCTCGGAAAGAATTCTGGGATCGATTTCTGCATGATGCCCAGACCTCTGAGCTCTTCCAAAGTGATGACATGGATGAGAGGTAGGATATAGGAGTTTGGCATTATTCCACGTGTTTGAATCTCTGTATCTCCAGAATACCTCACTTTTTTGTTCAATGTAACAGTCGAGTGTTTTGAGAAAAACTCAATTTAAAAGTTATCCGGGTGGCTTACCTAGGAAGCTGTTGGCCTCACAGACAATGCCTTATAAAACATTAATGCCTCTGAAACTTTCCTCATCTAGTAACATTTTATTCTGTGCTTTGATTGGGCCATAGTCAGCACATGAGTAAGAATTGATCTAAACCTCCTGAGCATGAGCCAGTAGCTCAGACTGGATGTTCAGGGTTGTTCTCCTCCAGGGAGGTAAACCTCCTCTTAAGGTTAAGTCTTTTCCAGCCTTTTTACTTTATTTAGCTCCATGAATCTCCTCATGCACTCGGACCATCTTCTCTGTCCATGCTGAAGACGAGCATCTCTATTCCATGATGCTGCCTCTGCCGTGTTGCACTGTGGAATCGGTATGTTCAGAGTGATAGTTGTCCTTCACATGCATTGGCTTGGATGTAGATGTTAAGGTCAGGTCAGGTCATATCTGTCCAGAGCACCTCCTTCTACAGGTTTGTCGTGCCTCACATGGTTTACCATAATTTTCGGACTATTAGCCGCACCTGAATATAAGCCGCAGAAGCTAAATTGCATGCAATGCATGTTTGCATACATGCAATTTAGCATACATGCATTGCATGCATGTTTGTACATATACACAAGCTGCACCGGACTATAAGCCGCAGGTTTTTTATGTTTAATGTCCGTCTTTCTCGCTGTCGTTCTGTCTTGTACCACTCGCGGTAGAAGTTCACGCGGCTTCACGCGGCTACCGTACTTGTGTGTTGAAGCAAATGTGACGTCAACATGGTGGATGGTAAAATCCATAGATTTAGGTATTACCCTAGTGGCCGTTAGCTGTAAAGGTCCATAGATAAGCAGCATTGTTATATAAGCCGCAAGGTCAAAAAATGGGGGAAAAGTCGCTGCTTATAGTCTGAAAATGACGGTATATCTAATCTCAAAACAATAATTATTTTTTTTATATTTAGGTTTTTAGCAATCTTTCCTTTTTCCAATTTTCCTGGAAGGCCAGATTAGTGATCGGTGCGATCGGTAGTTGTATTTCCCACCAGACCTGTGAATCACAGCAGCTCCTCAGTTACCATGGCTCTCCTGGCTGCTCATTTGATTTAATGTTCTCCTTGCGAGGCCTTTCAGTTTCCAAACCATTTGATATTATTCTCCATAACTCTCTCTCTCTCTGACCTGTCTGCTGTGTTTCTTGCTCCTCATGACGCTAACAAACCTTTGAAGTAGTGATGTTATGAGATGAGCCGAGGCATGAGTCGAATACATGAGGGGGCGTTTCCGTGAGGCGCGTATCGAGGCTTGCTTCATTTGGGGGAGGAGCCAAAATAGATGATGTCCGAAGCCTCACTAGCCACCATACCAGGTGACCGCTTCAGGAAGTGGTTCAGCTCGCCCAGAACATTTAAAGAGCCTCTGTGTTCAGTCAAGATGTGGGAGTTTGTAGGACAGTTGGATAGAGTTTGGATTTATTCTAATAATAGATTGGTTGTTTTTCCAACCAATCTACTTGGTTAAAACTGGTTTGGTTAGATTGAAGAATGTAATGATCAAAATCTGAGGAGGGGTTATTCCTAGTGGCATGAGATTTAAGAGTTTAACTTCCAATCCCAGGGTTGTTGGTTCAAAGCCCCCCTTAGACCTTTAAAAGTTGCAATAAAACACAAGTATTTTGGCTAATGTTACTAATTTGTATTGGTTTGCCCTAGTATAAATATAGATTGGTAAAAACACAAAAAAAATTTAGATAGGTGGGTTTAACCAAAAGATTGGTTGAACATATAACTTCCAACCCGATTAAAACCCAAAACTGGGGAAAAACTATTGTGTTTGAATAAAAATGATTAACACCTTTAATTTTCTCATCATTGTACAATTTGCACAAACACGTTCACTGTCTACTCGATCTTATTTCACTAAAATGGTAAAAAAAAACAGAGCTTATTAGATTTTTCTCTTCTAAGACATTTTATACACAAAAAAACGTACTAAAAATTTTATTATAAAAATATGTATGTTAAGGGGGGGTGGATGTTGACAAAATAAACAATTAATTGCTGTTTTATTTAGTGCTCTGGAACACTTGAAGAGGTGGTTGATCCCAGAGAAGGTGGCCATCAGTGCGGAGGAGCTGGAGTATCTCCTAAGGCCGTCCCAGAGTTCACCTTCAACAGGAGCAGATCACACACTAAACCAAGAGGAGACAGAAGGAGAAGAACACAACTCAGAGGAAGACGATCCAAGCTCCCCAGAGAAATAAATGTAAAAAAAATCCCATCCTAAATTGTTAATCTGCCAAGTAATCTGTAAATTTGTTTTTCATTTCACCTTGTTTCTGAGCTGTGACGTTAAAACTGTTTCTTCCTTTAACCGCCAGAGTTCATGTTTCTGTCTTAAATATTTATCATTTACTCATAGAAAATGCTGTTGTGTAATATTATACCTTTAGTTTTTTGTAACAACAGATCTGGCATCAAGTCTCACGTGATTCTCAGCTTTGCTTGAATGAGAAAACCTTAATAGTTGGAATAGAAGAAGCTGTAAATATTGCCATACAATGCAAACCAGATGTTTCTTTTTGTAAATGTTCATATCCGCTGAATAATGTGAGTCATTCTTAAATACTCTGCAAATCCTTAATGTTTTCCTTTCATTTTGAGTCCAAGTTTACTCTCATTTAAATAAAACCCTAATTCTGATTGCTGCCATAATTCTTACATACATTTAAATATAAATTAAATGTGATGTAACTTAGCAAGCCTGTTAGTAACTGTTAATATCAGTGTTGTTTTAGTCTGTATTTTTTTATCCAGTGTTATAGACTACCTTTCTTAACTTTCTTGGGGCCAAAGCCGACTTATGTGACCACTTAGACTTAGACAAACTTTATTGTCATATTGAATACACAGTGTATACAAAACGAAACTTCGATGCATACAGCTTTTCAACAGTGAACAACAGGAAGCGGGGAAAAAGCTGTTACAGAAGCTGCTGGACCTGCAGCAGATAATGCGAACCCTCTTCCCAGAGGGCAACAGAGAGAATTAGATTTGATTAGATGAGCTTTATTGATCTTACAGCGGAGAAATTCACTCGTCACTTATTGGCATAGAGGTTAAAGAAGAAGGTGCATGAAGAATAAGCAATATATATATACAGTATATCCAATTATATACAGTATATTAAGATAAATAAGGATTAAGGTGCAAGTGTACATGTATCGCACATGATGAAAAACAAAATAAAAATAAGAAATAAAAAAATTAAGAAATAAAAATATGTACAATCCGGATGGCTTATATACAGGTGGATTTACTTTTACGTTAAAGTGTAGTAGGTATGGAACAACGGTGAGGTAGTGGTATGACTATTCTATTCATATATATTGCACAGAATATTGCACAGTCAATAAATAAAAAACTATAGTTATAGAACAGTCTCTGGGGTCATTGATAATGTTTCGGGCTCGGACACGGAGTGCTGGGATGAAATGTCTTTATGGAGGGAAGACAAGCCCCTATGATCTTCTCTGCTGTTCTCACCACTCTTCTTATGTTCTTCTAGTCTGAGGTGCTGCAGCCTCCACACCACACAGTGCGACAGCAGTAGAAACCATAGAGAGCAGAATGCTCTCTATGGTAATAGTCAAGTTGGTTTGGTAACCTTTAAATTATGTGCCACAACACCACACAATAAAAGACTTAATAATTAACATGTTCAGTGATTTGCATGCAAAGTTCAACATCTTGCCCTACCTATTTTATCGATGTCTTTGAACGTATCAGACCTTGAGCTCATTTCCATAGCTTTCCTCTTTAATTGTGGTTTTCTTCATGCCGTCCTTGCTCTTTTTACTCTCCAACTTTCAGACACCATTGAGCATTTGAGTGCAATCATCTATGTGTTACGTCAGGGTGCACAGAGAATTAAAGCTGCCAGTGTAGGCGGAGGGAGCCCAGTGATGGTGGTACTAGCACACTTGATCCACTCCTGGTAGAACACTGAATTATTCAAAAAATCAACAGCCCTTGGGGCCCAAAATTAAGTCAGGTCCACAAGGCATTGGCCAGGTCCTCCCAATTAGCCATCCCAGGGCCCGTCTGAGGGTCTTAAGCAGATCTATTAATCTTAGAGTTACTGGACTTATGCCCTTTCAAAGCCAGATGCAGCATACCTGAGGCCTAAATAGGTAAAAGCTGCTTTAAAATGCCCCCCCCCCCCCCCCTTTATGTACTACAGAGAGACTAATTATAGGGATTCTTCAAAATTTCACTGATGTAAAATCTATTCTAACATATTTTACCGACACTTTGAATTTTTTTTTCAGTTTTAATTCTACTTTAATTTCCTAGCATTCTATTTAATGGATCAGAAATGTTTTGTCTTACTTGATGTTTCAGTTGTAGCATGTAGTTTAGAACAAATCCCCAGAATTCGATCTGCCTCATTAAAGCTCAGTTTGGATTTTAGAGTACATGCACTTTTTGCTTATTCAAAATCAGTCCATTCGAAACATAAGTCTGGTTCCTTTAATTAAAAAGGGACAAGTGTTTGTGCGCAGAAGTACACTTAAGTATTAGCGTTCAGAAAACCCATTTCTTTGCGTAATTTCTATCATAATAAGGAGTGCTTCATGAATGCTCTTTTAATTAAAAGTCAGATATGATCCTTATATTCCAGCAACAGCCTACAGAGACTCTGAGGTCTGCATTTGTTCTGCTCTCAGTTATAAAAGCTATTACAAAAACGTTATAACTAAAACTAATCCAAAATAAGCAGTGGACTATAATTTAGGCTAAAACATTCACAGCTTTAAAAACAGTCTAAGACGTACTGTTTCATTTTATTCAAGTAAAGAAAAATGAGTATTTCAGTAGGATAATCATCAGTTGTTATCTACACTTGATTAATCCTTCCAGGTACACAGAGGAGCTGCGCTGCTCTTTCTGAATAGGTTGTCAACTCATCACAGGTCAACATGGAGGCCAACAACCATGCAGGCACCCTGAAACCTTAGAACGATTTAGAGATATCCTCTAAAAAGTCTTAATCTAGATTTAAATTTCAAAAATGATGACTATAAATGTATGTCTTTTAATGAAAAAATTAAAACATCTGAAACTTTAATTTCCTTAATGTATTCTGTAAAGTTGATCCTTTATAGAAATTCAATAAACCTAACTTATTTTCATGTAAATATTTTGTAGGCTATCAAATGTAATGTTTCCTAGAGACAGTTTTTTCTAAAATCTGGGATTGTATATTTAAACCTGGGACCTCGGATTATTTCAGTTTAATAAATCTCCCGGCAAACAGGAACCTGGAGTCTGTTCTTTCACATCTCTCTTTCATGAGGTGTTGTAAAATCTTTCCAGACATCACTGCATGAAATTGCTGTCATATAGAAGGTGTGAAAAAATCCACTATCCTCTGATTACAGTCTTCTCGACACACAGCAGAGTTGATGGTAGAATCAGGGTCTGCAGATTTTTCCTTATAAAGGATTATCCTGAGTAGGTATAAGAAGAGATGGAAGGGGGAAAAAGGTTCAAATGCCTTTGACCAAACAAGAATCTGTTAAACCCTTTTTGAAGCAGAGGCGGAGCTAGACGGGTGGGGGCGATGGGGGGTCAATGGTGGCCATGGCCACCCTCCTAGGTGAACCCATGTGGACATAATTCACAAGCAGTTCCCCCTCTAAAACAGAAGATGTCAGCAGTAAAACTCTTGGGGAATGTTCTGGCTAATTGGACATTTTAATTGTTCATATTGTCATGGTGGGTCCCAAGTGTTTAGCCCACATGCAGAAGCACTCTCATAGGCTGGGAGAAGTTTAACAGTTTATTGAAAAAACTGGAGCACAGAGAGACAAAAACCACTGGTTTCTCAGCTTGGGGGAAATCCAGCGCTCTGGTGAACCGGAAGCGGAAGCTCTAGGAAGAGATCATAGTGGTGAGTTCAAGGTTCGTGGGAAAACCAGTCGATACTGAAAAATAGCTAGACGAGGACTCACAATTGTGGTTTTGTGGTTGCTCCAAGGTTCCGGTTTGTGGAGGCTTGTACTGTTATGGAGATTACTTTGCTGGAGGGTGGACAGGCAGACTATGGTGGTCCTGACGAGCAGCAGAGCAGACTGTCACTTGTTTTCCTGAAGTGGACGGCGTTCTGATAAGGTGAATAGTTTCCTTTTCTGAGCGTGACGAGAGGATTCCTTCCCAGGCTAGAAGGACCAGGCTTATCCAGTGGATCTGTAGAAACCCCAATACTGGCAAACACTCTGGCGAAGAGAGGGCGACAGTCTGCTGCTCATATACTCCTCGGATGGTGATGACCAACAAGCTACAGGTGTGAGTAGTTGAGAGCAGGAAGAGGCCTTCCAGGCCAACAGCGAAACAATGGCACCATCTGGTGAAAGAGGCCCTCCAGGCCAACAGCGAAACAATGGCACAATCTGGTGGAAGCACAGAGACACTAAAAAAGAACAAAAAACAACCCAAAACAAACTGGAACCCTAACACATATATTAACACAGACAACCAAAATACATAAGTACTTACATCAATATCCTAGCATTAAAGATGATATAAGATAATATAAAATGCATGCTCTTTTAAAACTAGTATTTGTGTTTTATGGGGGAAAAAAATTTCAGTTACGCGTCTTTGCAAGTCATCAAGCAGTCTTCTTTGTAATTAGAGATAATAAGAAAACAAATCCATTTAAGAAGTTGTATGTAAATATTAAGAATAGAATAGAATTAGAATATACACAGCCTGGCCAAAAAAAAAAGTCGCCACCTGGATTC